CTTTCCATGTTTAAGAACGCTTGCCACATACCGGGGTCTGAAAAATATCCACTTGTATACACTTGACCCCTTGAACAGCACAGGTCTGAGCTTCGCGGCTCCACTTGTACGCAGATGCTTGTCAGTAGTAAATGCTAATACCACACGGTCCGTGGTCGGAGAAGCTGGGGATACAGTTATACGCAGATTAACGCCCGCGTTGTTCAGGGGTCAGCTGTATTTTCTACTAAGTATTTTGACACTTAAAGCTTTTTTCCTTGCCGAACTGATCTTTGCAACGTGAAGCCAAGCCCCAAATTAATTTCTTTCCCCACAAGCTTCTGCCTTCTGTCCCTACCAATCCGCAAATTCATTCTTTTTTTTTTTTTTTTTTTTTTTTTTTTCGTTTTTTTTTTTTTCTTGCGTTATGCGGGCCTCTCACTGTTGTGGCCTCTCCCATTTGCGGAGCACAGGCTCCGGACGCGCAGGCCCAGCGGCCATGGCTCACGGGCCCAGCCGCTCCGCGGCATGCGGGATCCTCCCGAAACGGGGCACGAACCCGCGTCCCCTGCATCGGCAGGCGGACTCTCAAGCACTGCGCCACCAGGGAAGCCCCGCAAATTCATTCTTGTTCACGTAACCAAAGATCCCCGCGTCACTAGAGCCCCTTTTTACTCGCGACTCACCGAGTCCAGCAGAGCCGACACTCAGGACGCCTTCCTTCCAGAAAACCTTGCGGCGGCGGCGGCGGCGGCGGCGGCGGCGGCGGCGGCGTGAGGACCTGCGTCTCCTGCTTCCCACCCACCGCCCGACCAGCCCGTCTCAGGCTCTTTCCCGGGCCCACCTGGCTCCCCCGGGCACCCCTCCCTCCCTCCCTGAGGACTGCACGCGGCACCTGTCAGGTGCTACACGGATCTGCAATTGCCAGCGTCAGCTCCTCACTCAGCGAGCTCACCTGGGCACGCTCTTCACTCCTTAATTACCGTTCACGCGGAGACGAGTCACCGTGCGCCCTTTGCCCCCACGCCCCCCAACCCCGGGAGGTCCTCACGCATGCGTATTTGAGGTCTCCTCTTAGGTATCGGCAAGACACCTCAACTCAGCCTGGTTAAAATCGAACTCGGCATCTTCCCTCTCCCCAGAGTAGCACTACGCGCTGCTCCCTCTGAACGAAGGCTTCACCTTTAGTTCAACTATCCTGCCCGAGAGAAGCCCCTCCTGACCTTCCAGGGCAGCTCAAACCCCCAGCAAGAGCAAGGGGGTTCAG